TGAGAAACAAACCTTTCACAGCCAAGACAATCAACTTGCTTTGAAATATTGAGCACTCATAGAAGACAATCAATCTCTCAGGAGAAATATTTTAGTAAATTACCAACAAACCACATACTACATTAATGCGAGTACTGACAAATCCTTGCTGAAGAATTCTCGGTAACACTTTACAGTACTGTTTCATAGTAATAAGTAACTAATCAAGAATGAAGCAGGGACGAATGAGTAGTGCTGCATTAACACTTAAGTAACTACTTTTAACTACCATGAATTACTAGTTAATTAATCAGTAGGTAATAGTGAACTAATGCTTAGGATAGTCCACTATTAACTATACAATAACTACTGAGTTTCATAGAGAATTACTTAGTAACTATGGTTTCTTAGAATAACTACTCATGAATTATAGATTAATTCAACATTAATTGCTCAATAGCTGTGTCTTACAAGGTTGCTGATGAACTATTAACTGATGTAGTTTATTCCAACACTTCTAACAGTATCGAAATACACTACACAGTGTCTAGTTTCTACAGTATAAAGGGTTATATTCTCCATTATTATTCACAGAAACAGGTAACCTCGGAGAATTTTCGGGGAGGGGGCATCACACCACACTGTACTGACTGGTCTCCCACATGTGCTTGCTTTGATTAGAAACCTTGAAAGGCTAATGCACATCTTCACATCTTTGGCAGGGGAAACCAACTTGCACATGAGCCAACAAATGAGAGATTTGAAATTAGAAATGAACGTGACATCGACAATGCAATTTCTTATCTGTTATATATGGCACCACATTGGCTTCAGTGCATAGTTGATTTGTCACATAAAGTATCAAGCTATGCTACAGCCATAGCAGTTTGGCTTGAGTCAGCTAGCTAGGGCAGGTCAGAGATAAAACAGTATCTTTTTGACAAGATGATATGAGTCTGAATGTCTGTTGACATCTAGCTGCAGGCTAATCTGCCATAAAGGGGAACTCCACAAATTCTACATGAATAATTGTTTCAGATGTCAACAAAGTCATTCATACAGGTTTGACGTAAAATGCAGGCTTTAAGTGAAACTTACCAACTCATATTTCTGTACAATACTATTTAAACCAACACAGCTGACAGCCCCCATAGAAACATGTAGTTAATCAAGTCTTAGTATAGTTTTTTTTTTTTTATTTAGCTGATTTAGCATTCATTTTCCTAATGTAGTTTTCCTCTGTCTACGGGAAACTCTGAGAAGACAGATGCTCTTGAGGCTGCTCTCTAAATTGGAACTGGGGCTCACAAGAGAACCTATGGATTTGGATTATATGTAACTTACATGTAGACAGGAACTGTATCTCTACAACATACTCTCCTGACACGTCAATATTACGTGCCCTGCAGGAGCTTTTTAGGCCTATGACAGAGCACACTGAATGGTCCAGTGGCAGAAATACGCAAGCTGACACAATACTTGGAGAGACAGGATGTCGCAGGTTAGACATTGAGAGAGAGCTTGGAGGAGCTCTTGGAAATTGACCTGCCTGTGCCCTGCATCTCAAAGATGCTGCGCGTCTCAACAAGTACAGTGTTTAGACGGATGCAGGAGTTTCTATGCCATCTAGCCTTTCTGCTAGATGGCATATCAGTATGAATGATGAGGAGCTGGACAGTGTTGTACAGAATATAAAAAATGAAATGCCAACTGCTGGCTACTGCATGGTGAAGGGGAGGTTGCAATCCATGGGGATCCACGTCCAGTGGAGGACGGTGGCTGCATCGATGCACAGTGTGGACTCTATGGGCATTCTCTTCAGACTCTCTGGATTAGCCTGCATCCTACGCAAGACATATTCTGTGAGAGGACCTCTTTTACTTTGGCAGGTGGACACAAACCACAAACTAATTAGGTTAGTACCTTTCATTGATACTAAAAGGATAAACATAAGTACGATGTCATTTTACTTGTACATTAAGTAATTACAGTTATTTACGGGAATAAAAAAAACATTGCTCACTAGGCACAACGTTGTTCTGTTTGCGTATTTCTGTCACTGGTCCATTCAATGTGCTTTGTTGCAAGTCTAAAAAGCTCCTGCTGGGTATGTAATATCTTTGTCGGCACATCAACTTGTCGGGAGAGCATGTTATAGAGATACAATTCCTGCCTACAAATTCCATGTAATCCAAATCCATAGGTTCTCTTGTGAGCCCCAGTTCCAATTTAGAGAGCAGCCTCAAGAGCATCTGTCTTCTCAGAGTGTCCTGTAAAGACAAAGCAAAACTACGTTAGAAAAATAAATGCTAAATCAGCTAAATAAAAAAAAAAACAAGACTTGATTAACTACATGTTTCAATAGGGGCCGCCAGCTGTGTTGGTTTAAATATTACTATCACTGGTAACACTTTACATTAAGAAAACTGTCCATGAATTTGTGTGCGTTCATCTTACAGCCAGATGTGACCATAAGCATCTTTAATGAACAAGAACCAATGTGAGAAAAGTGAAGCAACTGAATATATGAAGGTGATGGAAAGTTAATTAACAGATAATTATCTGGATTAACACATAAGTGCCAGTAAGTTATCATGGTACTTCTTTATATGAATAAAAATACTTATTACTTCATTAACAATGTAATAAGCAGCAGTTAGTACACAGATAATGAGTAAGTAAGCCATAAACTAATGACAAACTAACTTATCAACTAACAGTGTTCTCAAATACTAATTGTTAAGTGCTTAAATAGTTGCTAAGTAATAGCTAATGCTTAATGAAGAGTTAACTAGTAACTAAATTATGGTAAATTAATAGTTGATTATTATATAATTAATGATTGATTGGCGACCCTTAATGTAAAGCGTTACCCTATCATTTCATGATAATTCCACCAATTTTGCAAAACTTCTACATAATTAAATTTTAAAGATGAAAACAAAGTCATTCACAGTGGTTTGATGTGAATGCTCCGTTTGAGAAACTTAGCATCAGAATTGTTCACAGTGGTGGTGATAGGAACCAGACGTCTGAAGAGTTTAATGCCTCTTAAACCTCCCTTACATAAAGTTATTACATGACATGGTTATGAATACGCTGCCTGATGCCTGAGACATTGTTATACAATAGTTGTGTAATTGCCTAAAACTTATTTTGATACATTTGTTTTAATCCAATCATAGTGGAGAGATACATGCAGGGCATTATGGGGCAAAATGGCTCCCAGAGAAAACTTCTTTTTTCAGATTTATGAATACCATCATTAACATTGCATATAAAACTCCAAAGACACGTGTAGGTTCACTGGTGGTTTCAGAAAGCAAATAAAAAGGCTGTGTTTGTATTGTAGCCATCATAACTGCTGGTTCCTATCACCACCACTGTACAGAAATATGAGTTGGTAAGTTTCTCTCGAACAGTCATTTTACATCAAACCTGTATGAATGACATCTGAAACATTTATTCATGTAGAATTTGTGGAGATTAACTTCCAGCTATGGTGTCAACAGACATTCAGACTCATATCATCTTGTCAAAAAGATACTGTTTTATCTCTGACCTGCCCTAGCTAGCTCACCCAGGCCAAGCTGCTATGGCTGTAGCGTAGCTTGATACTTTATGAGACAAATCAACTATACACTGAAGCCAGTGTGGTGCCATATATTACAGATACGAAATTGCAATGTTGATGTCACGCTCATTTTTTTTTCGGAAAATAATGTCCTTTTAAAAAATTTAAGTTGCCGATATTTTGTTGCTAATTCCACTTAACGTTAGCTATTAGCTAAACTAATGTTACACTTCTTACAGGTCAAGTTTAAACTAAATGGATAACGTTAGCACTACCAACATGACACTAAAACAGTTAAAGATGTTAAGCTTGACTATTAAAATATTTTAATTTAGACAAACCAGAGTTTGCTTTTAACCTTACCTGTCGACGTTTCTCTTCGTCCTCCATCTTTGTCTTCTTTTTGTACTTTACGGTCAGCCGCAAAAACAGGAGCCATCAGCCAATAGCATTTGTGGACAGAAACGGGCCATGAGCTCGCCAATAAACTGTCAAAACCACCCCCATGCCAAAACTCGAGCACGAAAATTTCACTTGAGCACAGAGAGCAGCTGAAGGCAATTTACATGGCGCACGAGGACAACTATTGAATCGAGAAGAAAAACACACTCACATGAACTGACACTTCTGAATATAGTTTATTACTGCGTCCCTTTATGCATTTACTTACTAACAAAGTCCTGCCTAATTCTTTCTTCATTCAGCTGATCACCGAGCTGAACAGGTGGCTTGTAGTTAGCCCCCAGCTAGTAGTGGACCACTAGTTACATTGCAGATAAATGAACTGATACTGTTGGTTTCATTTTTCATGGATGTATTTGTACATTAAGATTGTCTGTAACAGTGTTTTTCAACCCAGTCGTTAGGGCTCATCTCATAATTCCATATGCATGATCCCAACACACTAGTTTAGAAGAAAAAATGTCGTTAATGAAAAAATTTAGGTAATGTAGTGTAAATTTTTATCATGCTTTATTTTGTTTAGTGGTTTTCTCTTGAAAATGTTTATAGCAAAATCTAGAATTATAAATAGTCTGGTGGTCATAAACTTGACTAGTAATGGTAAAATCTGGTTTAAGATTAAAATCTGGTTTTGAGTTTGACTCAAATTCTGAGTCCAGCACTTCTCAGGAGGTAAAACTAAATGCAGTACTGTTATTGCTATTGAGTTCACTAGTTCTGTATAGCTATAATAAGAGGTGACTACTTGGTATTACAGGCTGCTGGAGCCAGTGCTGAGGTGCCCGCTTTGCAGTAAGTACCAACTTTAACCCTTCACACTGTAAATGGAGCCTAAGTGTTTGTGTTCATTTTCATTCTGAAAGTTATTTGGAAAATGTAATGAAATGTGCTCCTTTCCCACTGCAGCAGGTTTTCCCTGTAAGCAATATTCCTGTCTCCATTTCTGCAGATCTTTCTGAGCAGAGATCATAGAGAGATGGTTGCAGTTCTCCATGGCAGGATGATCCTTGGCACATTGGCCATTCTTAACGCCAGGGTATCAATATTATTACCATCTAAATACATGAATTGTTATGAGGTAATGACAATATGACACTCTAGTTATCTCTCTTCTTCCTTAGAATTAGACTGACTTCCAGCAGGTGCTTGAACAGCTGCTGGCGCTAGCTCAGGATCCTTCATGTGAAGGAATTCAGGTGGAGCTGACACAGACTGGGGTGAGCTTGACTAACTAGGTTTTGTCAAAATCTTGGCACCAGATTATGAATGTGGATAATGCTGTGACACGACTCACGACAGCCTTTCTTCTTACTCTCAGATTCAGCACTTCTTGGACGTCTTCTGTGAAATGGTGGTGCTGGGGGTTATAGGTGGAGCCAGACCTTAGATCTGTCCAGTAAGACATCTTCCCAGTTTTTTGCAACTGCATGTATGTGGCTTGTTGTAGATATGAAAATATCAGTTATATCAAATTGAAATTAATAGATAAGAAGCAGCTAAATGTCATTGCTCAAATGTTTTTAATTTTCACATGATTCCATGTGCCACAAGGATTTCTTGGCCACCCGATGGCCGTGATTTCCTAATTCTCTGCCCAGCTACCAGAGAACACCCAGGGCTGGTGAAAGTCTGCTCGTTTTCCGGGTAATAAGAAGTATCTATTACCAAACATGAACATTAAAGGGGAACTCCACCAATTTTGCAAAAGTACTTAATCATTCAACCGTTTACATGTAAACAAAATTCAGATGTCAGAGTCAAAATTGTTCACCACTGTAGTACTAGGAAACAGACCAGACTCCATATGTCTACGCTATAAATTTCACCATTTCTCTACTATCCAAAATGACCACTGAACTTACATGTGTCTTATAAGGTTTTATATGTCACACTGATAATGGTAAAATAGTGCTAAATTTGAAAAAATACGTTTTTGGGTAGTATTTTTTCCTTACAATGCCTTGTATGTCCCTCTTTGCCCTGCACACATTTTGTTGTTTGGGTTGGCGGCGTTGCATCACGCAGTGTCAGCAGAACTCTTATGTGTATATAGCTTATAGCTTGTGTGAGTAATGTTATTCATCAGAGGAGCTGTGATAGATCACAGTTGCACCTTGCTGTCCTACCCCATAAACTGGTGAGCAGAGTAGCAAGTAGTTTGTTGCTGACACTGTCAATTTCCACTCGCCCTGAATTCTTCAGCTTTGGTGCCGGCGGATTCTCTCTCTCTCTCTCTCTCTCCTTTGTTTGCTCTCTCTTCTTCAAGCCACTTGCGTGCATTGATCCCAGTTGAGAATGAAGTTTAACAGGAAACACGGAAGTAATCCTGGAGTAAAAGTTAATACTAAAAATACATTTTAGGCTAAAACTATCACAAAACAGTGTCTCAGGTATCAAGTAACACAGGTTAAACTAAGTTTAGTTCAATTAGGATAAGTTAGGTTAAGTTAAGCTACGCTAAGTTAAGTTCAATTAGTTTAACTAAAATTTAAGGTAAGCTAGGTGAAGCTAGGGTATTTTAAGCTAGGTTTATTATTATAATTATTATTATTATTATTATTAGTAGTAGTAGTAGTAGTATTATAGAGGCTTACAGTTACTGAGATGGAGGGAGGAAGTTTGTGAAGCACCTCAAGGACTGACTTCTTTTTCTCTCTCACTCTCACTCTCTTACTAACTCTCTAACTAGCTCACCGACAAACTCACTCACTAACTAGTTTACTAACTAACTCACTCAATGACTTGCTCACTAACTCACTAGCTCTCTAACTCACTCACTAAGTCACTACGTAACTCGCTCACTTGCTCACTCACTAACAAATTTGTTGCAGATAAATCTATAAAAATCTATAAAATGATTCTAAAATTATGCAACTTTTTTTAAACTGTAGTTGTAACAAAAGCAGCAAAAAATACATAAGAAAATAATTCCGTATTAATTCTGTGAGAATGAATAAAAAAATTGTTAAAATGAATCCCTCGCATTTGATCAAACATTGAAACCAAATGACACTATACATATCAATTAATTGACTAGAAATTACTATAAATAATTGATAATAGTAGTGTATTTTTTGTTTAATAATATTCACAATAAATATCTTCCAAAATACTTGGAATACTGACTCAAATATTTTTAAAAATACCTTGGTTTGGTTTACATTATCTGATCAGTCATAATTAATAATTAATAATCAATGCTGCCACCTTGGATGACTTATCAGCTGTAATATTCTCTGTAAATGCTGAAAGCTTGTTTTGTACTGTTAAAAACTGCACTAATCTCTCTCTGTGGTTATAGTAAACCTTAATGTAGCGTAGATTAGAAAAGAAAATGCTGCAAATGTTTTATCTTTCTCTTTCAGCGCCACCATGCTGGCCAGAACCTGCTGTTCTCCTCGTTCTTAGCAAAGTCACTTTCAGCCACTAGAGGGAGACAGAGTTAGTATGAGAAGCCTTTAAAGGGGGATTCCACCCAATTTTTCCAAATTTGCGCATAATTCATCATCATCATCATCATCATCATCAAATTATTAAGCATAGTCACTTTCAGCCACTAGAGGGATACAGAGAACAGTTAATATTAGCAGCCTCACCGAATTTTTCTAAATTTGCGCATAACTCATCATCATCATCATCATCATCAAATTATTAAGAGATATTAAGAGACACTCATGCAGAGTGGTTTGATGTGAAATGCTCTGTTGTAGAGTCAGAACTGGTCTCAGAGATGGTGATAGATACCAGCCTGAAGAGTTTAATAAAAACTTCATCACAGAAAGTTATTGCACAAAATATTTAATAGAAAAAGGCCATATTTACCCCACTGATTCTGAAAAAAAATTATACTATATTAATGTGTAGGACAAAGTTGAATGAATGCTAAAGTAAACACTATAAATAAATAAATAAATGTGCTTGAGTGTTGTATGCTTAATTTCTGCCTTCTTGTTCTTTTTGGAAGTATTGATGTCTTTATAATTCATTACATTTAGCATAAATGATATTAAATGGCCCATATAGACATTCCATTTTTTAGCTTATTTGTTTAAATAAAAGAGTTTGATGTAGTGTGTAAATAAGTTTCTAAGCATCGCTCCTCAGTCCACACAGTCCACATATGCAAACTAGGCTGCAAAAACAGCCCTTTTAGAATTCACTGCTTTTGTGATGTCACCAAAAATGAACACATTTACACATATCAACCCATTCAGCCTACAGCAGTCTAGCACTGCTGGTCCACGGGTGAAGATACAAGGAGTGTTTCTTCTAGGAATGTACAAAACAGGACAGCCAATCAGAACATAGCTCATTTTCATTTATATCAGTCTTAAAGACACAGTAACAAAAACAGCCTGTTCAATTCTAAGGGGAATAGAGAGGTTGGAAAATCATGTAAAATGAATTATGTTTTCTTGTACATAAGCCCCCTCAAGTGTCATGAGTGGACTAATAAAAAAAAGGATATTGGCCCTTTAAGGTAAAACATACCCGTGGTGCCCCCTTGTATTTTGCTTGTATGTGCTAATTTGTTGTCTTTTTCTCTGGACAAAACACTTTTCCATCCTTCTCTTTCCAAATCAGTTTGGTGACTCCAAGGATCCCCTTCTCCTTCAGCTTCTCATGAATCTAAAAATAAATAAATAAATACAAAGTGTAAAGTTTTACTCTTAATACATCTACAAATAACTTAGTATTCTTTATACTCATAGCACTTCTAGATTAGAGGCTTAGTAAGGTTGCATGTGCGTATTGATACAGTATCTTCATTATTTTGTATGATCATTTGAATAACATGAT